AGGTCAAAGAGCTTGTTGCCAAGCCTAACAACCTGGGTTCAGTCCTGGCACCCACATGGTAGAAGGAGAGAATCAGCTCCCACAGTTGTCTTCTGATCTCCACATGCATGCCTTAGCATAGGAACACAGATACATATACATACACAATAAATGTATATTATTTATTTATATTTTATATTTATGGAGATATATTGGTTTTGTTTTTAATTTTTAGTTTAATTTTTAGGTGTATGAGTGTCTTGCCTTTGTGTATGCAAGTGCATCATGTGTGTGTGATGCCCACAGAGGCCAGAAGAGGGTGTCGGATCCCCTGGAACTCGAGTTACGGAGAGTTGTTAGCCACTGTATGAGTGCTGGGAACTTAATCCAGGTCCTTTGGGAGAGCAGCCAGCTCTCTTCACCACTGAGCCTCCTGTAAAAAAAATTTTAAGTGGGAGGTTTCAGGAGATGAGACAGAGGATTAGCAGACCTTGAATGTCTGAGCAAAGTGTTGGGCAGAGCCTACCAGAAGTGCCTCTGCAGGACAGATCTTCCCCCTAAAGGCTCTTGGGATCAAGTCCAGATTCCCACACTGCGTGCCAAATTTGCCCAGGCTGTTACCCCACTTCAAATGGTACATCTTCCCACAACTTGGGAAGCTGGGGTCTTTCCCTTTCACAGGTGGGAGACACAGTCCCAGGCCCATAGCTACCATCTTGGGAGAGGCCTAGCCTCAAAGGCACCTTCTCTGCCCTTGACCTTGACACTCCCAGCAGATGTGTGGTTCCTCACAGCTCTTCCTTTCTGGGTCTCTGATGTAGATGCCACAATCCCAGGTTGTTCTGACAAAGGTTCATTCTGCCATGCTGGTCATGTTTCAGATCTGCTCTGTCCAGACTTTAAGCCACCAGCCCCGAGGACCACTGAGCTCCTATAGTATGCCCTGTGTAAGGGAGGGGGACCAGTCTGAACTGTCTGTAACTCATGAATCAGCTGCACTGTGCTGGCAAGGCTGTGGGAGACAGGAGCTCAGCTGGTAAGGACAGAAACCAGCTTAGGACTCTAGTGCCTGCTTCTACCTAGCTACCGATTTGATTGACAACATCTGTCAAAATGATCACAGAATTTAACATTTGTCCAAGCAAAGTCACCTCAAGGGGTATGTCCCACAGATCAATCTGCCCATGCAAAAATGACTTCATATACAAGGCTGGTAATTGTGCAGAGAGGAAGCCACAAAGGGGGACATCTCAACAACCAACCAAGGAAAAAGCAGATAAACAACTTCAAGTCAAAACTGCTGGGTTGAATGGCCTTTAATCCCAGCACTGGGGAGACAGATCCCTGTGAGTTCCATGCAAGCCTGGTCTACAGCTCTCCCTCAAAAACAAAGAAAAAAACACACAAAAAAAGTGAAAGAGACAGCCAACAAGATGAGAGAAAATGTTTACTGGGGTTTGCTTTTGTTCTTTTGAAACAAGGTTTCACCATGCCTCCTAAGCTGGGTCCAATTCACAGGCAAACCTCAGGCCTCTGCCTCCCAAGGCACTTGGCGCCTGGTGATCCTAGTTCAATTCATGAAATACACATGGTAGAAGAGAGTCAGTTCCCCAGAGTTGTTCTCTGACACTCTGGTGTACCCACAACAAACAAATTTTTAAAATAAATAGTTTTTTGTTGTTTTTTGAGACAGGGTCTCACTATATAGCCCCAGCTGGCCTGGAAATCACTATGTAGATCAGGCTGACCTTGATCTATCAGAGATCTGCCTGCCTCAGCCTTCCAAGTGCTGGGATTAAAGGTGTGCAACACCATACCTGGTTTGTTTTAGTTACTGAGACAGGATCTCATGTAACCCCAGCTTGGCCTCTAACTTGCTAAATAGCTGCAGATGACCTTGAACGCCTGATCCTCTTTCCTTCACCTAAGGAATGCTGTGATTATGACATGTGCTACCAAGCCTGATTCCAAGAATTTTTTTTTTTTTTTTTTGTCTTTTTGAGACAGGGTCTCCCTGTAGCCCCAGCTGTCCTTGAACTTACTATGTAGACCAGGCTGGCCTTGAACTCACAGAGATCCGCCTGCCTCTGCCTCCCAAGTGCTGGGATTAAAGGTGTGGGCCACCACAGCCCAGCCCCAAGAATTTTTTTTTAAATGTAAATCAGATTTTGTCATTCACTACAGGGGGCTGACTAGATGGCTCTGTGGGTGAAGGCACCTGCTGCCTGACAACCTGAGTTCCACATACAGGATACACACAGTAGAAGGACAGAACTGACTCCTGGGAATGGTCCTTTGACTTCCAAATTCCACATGGGCATTACAGCACATGTACTCACACACGAGAGGGCACACACACACACACACACACACACACACACACAGAGGACGGTACTTCCCAGGTCTTGTTTGAGACAGGGTCTCGCTATGTAGCCCTGGCCAGTCTGCTCACAGAGATCTGCCTGCCTCTACCTCCCTAATGCTGGGATTAAAGATGTGTGCCACCCTTGGACCCTTCTCATACAAACCTATAGCAATGGCGTCAGCATGCAATACCCATGCAAACTTAGGCAGACAAAAGCCCAGCACAGAACTATGGAAAAGCCCCAATCTTAAGGAAAGAATTATTGGCAGCTGATTATTGCTGGGTGAGGAAGAGCTGATCTTCTTGAAGGGAGAGACTCTAGATAGGCTGACTAAACCCCAGTGGATGAACTTGCACTGAGGGGCATCTCAAGACACTAACTTTACAAATGACAGAATGTATGAACTCCAGTGGGGGGCTATGGGAGGGTGCCAAAGGGGAAGGGGATATAAAGATGATTTTATATATGAAATGCATAAAAATTCAATTAAAATATTTTTTTTAAAGATGTGCTCCGGGGCTGGGGAGATGGCTCAGTGGTTAAGAGCATTGACTGCTCTTGCAGAGGACCCAGGATCAACTCCCAGCACCACATGGTGGCTACGAACTGTCCTTAACTCCAGTTCCAGGGAAATCTGAAGCCCTCTTCTGACCCCCGCAGCATTGCACAACACGGGTGCATTCACATACATACAGGCAATACACTCATACACGTAAAATAAAAATAATAAAATATTTTAAAAAAGGACGGGTGTGGTGGTGCACGCCTTTAATCCCAGAACTTGGGAGGCAGAGGCCGGCGGATGATCTCTGTGAGTTCAAAGCCAGCCAGGTCTACATAGTGAGTTCCAGGACAGCTGGGGCTACAGGGAAACCTTGTCACAAAAAATAAATTTTAAAAACTTTATATATATATGATGTGCTCCACCACACCTGGCTTCCCAGGTCATTTTAAGATAGTTTATCACTACAGGTGTGGTGGTGCTAGCCTGTAGTCCCAGCATTTGGGAGGCAGAAGCAGGCAGCTCTCTGTGTGTTGGAGGCCAACCTGGTCTACATAGTTCCAGGTCAGCTGGGACTTCAGGGAAACCCTGTCTCAAAACAAACAAACAAAAAAAAAGATAGTTTATCATAGACACTATAATCCCTCTTGAGGCCCTGCCCCACTTACCCTACCCCCGGGCTTTCTCTCTCTCTCTCTCCACTGTTGTCTCATAAACAGTGTCCTTGTTTCTAGAACACTCAGCCTGTTCTTGCCCTGGGTCCCTTTTGCTGGGCTTGTTTCCAGGAATTGGTGACAGCTGGTTCCGTCCTGCCGCTTAGGCGTCCATGATTTCTTGAACTGTTCTCTCCTGACCCCAGCTCCACCTCCCAGGATTTAGGGACCCTGCCCTGGTCGTGCAGTTTCCAGACACTGTACAGGGCCAGGCTGGTGCTTGGTGACTGAGAGGGTTGTGAGGCAGTCACCTCAGGCTGTCTGTCAGGCAGTCATTTCCTGCTCCCTACTGAGGGAGTCCTTTGATGCCAGCCGGCTTGCTTGCAGGCTCTGGGACACTGGAAGGCTGGGTGTGTGAGACCAGGCCCCCACAAAAGCAAATCACTCAAACCTTCCACAGCACACATCTAACTGTGCAGTTAGTAAGGTGCCAGGCAGCCAGCCTCACCGAAATTCAAAGGACTCAGACGAAAGGAGCCAGCCTGACTGGGGACAGTGGGTACCCAGGGAAGGATACAGCCCCGGGGTGGCTGGCAGTGCAGGGAGGGATCCCAGGAGGCTTATATCCTCAGAGAGAAACTTCAGCTCTTGCCTCCCAGTCTGTCCTGTGCAGTCCTAGGCCGACTCCTGTTTATCACACTCTGGGACCTTGTAGAAGCCTGCTGTCCCCTCATATCCATGGGTAAAGACCATAGCTGGGGCTGCATTCATTCTTCAAGTCCTGTCTCTGCGCTCTTCCCTTTCCATTCCTCTCTCTCTCCACTTCTCTTCTCTGTCCTTTATTCGTTTTCAGCTTCTAACACCTGCCAGCTGTGGGCCAGGCAGAGCAAGTCTCTGCCCCCGGGAGCCCCTCTGAGGGTGGGCAGACAGGAACTGCAAGCTCGCTGCCCACGACAGCGCTGAGAAGCGCTAAGGGTGATGTCACAGTGCCAGGGGGCGGGGGCGCCCTGGGCAGGAGGTCCTGAGCCGCCTCAGCAGGAAATGTCACCAGTTATCTGGGGTTTTTGAGGCAGGATCTCGCTATGTAGCCCACGCTGACCTCGAACTGCAGAACCTCCAGCTTCGGGCTGGTCTCCGTATTCCTGGTTATGAAACGACCGTGACTCGTGCAGCCTGCGCAGCCCGCCTCCGCCCTCGGTCCATTGCCCCGGCATAGAATCCGAGGCCCGGACTGGCACAAGCGGGTGAGGAGGCGGGGGACGCGCACGCCTCGGGGACGCGCGCCGCCGGGGCTTCCGCACCCAGGTGCGGCCCCGCCCCCTGCGCCGCGGTTGGCTGCGGCCCGGCGGCCTCGGATTGGCTGGGCGCG